GGCAGATCACTTGAGATCAGGAGTTCGAGACCAGCCTGGCCAACATGGTGAAATCCCATCTCTACTAAAAAAAAAAAAAAAAAAAGCCAGGTGTCGTGGAGCACGCCTGGAATCCCAGCTACAAGGGAGGCTGAGACAGGAGAATTGCTTGAACCCGGGAGGCATAGGTTGCAGTGAGCCGAGGTCTTGCCATTGCACTTCAGCCTGGGTGACAGAGTGAGACTTCGTCTTAAAAAAAAAAAAATTAAAACAAAAGAAACGAATTAGATTAAAGAAAGCTCTGATATATAGAGCTCTTAAATCTCTCAGAATTTCCTGGGTCATGGTAGCATCTTTTGTTTTAATGAGGTGACTCTTGGTGGGATCCTGGATAGCCTCAGGATGGGGGCTGATTGCCAGGGGAACCAATCATGTAATTAGAGGATTGGAACTTTCAACCCCACATCGCCCCACAAACCTAGACCTCTGGGGAGGGGAGAAGGGCTGAAGGTTGAGTTGATCACCAATGGCCAGTGATGTCATCAATCATGCCTGTGTAATGAAGCCTCCATAAAAGTCCAGAAGGACTGGGTTCTGAGAGCTTCTGGCTAGCTGGACATGAGTTACCTTGAGGGTGGTTCTCTGAGAGAGAGAGCATAGAAGCTCTGGGCCCCTTCTCACATGCCTTGCCCTGTGCAGCTCTTCTATCTGACTATTCATCTATATGCTTAGTAATATCCTTTATAATAAATCAGTAAATTTAAGTAAAGTGTTTCGCTGAATTCTGTGAGCTACTCCAGCAAATAAATGGAACCTGAGGAGAGGGTAGTGGGAACTCCTGATTTATAGCTGGTGGGTCAGAAGTATAGATGACAACCTACTACTTACTATTGGCATTTGAGGTGTGGGGCAGCCTCGTAGGACTGAGCCCCAAATCTCTGTATAGGATCTATGGGATCTGATGCTATCTGCAGGTCGGTGGTGTTGGAATTGAATTGATTTGGAGGCGATCCAGCTGACGTCAGCTGGAGAATTGCTTGGTTGGTGTATGTGTGTATTTCCCCACACATTTTGGTGACCACAGGTGAAGTGTTCTGTGTTTCCTTGAGTGTGAGAGTAGGAAAAACACTTTGTTTTGTTTTGTCTTTAAAACATCCAAAAATCAGTTACTGTAATAGACCATGTCAGTAGAATAAAAAGCAAAAACCACATAATCATCTTAATAGATGCAGAAAAAGCATTTGCCCCAAATCCAACTCCTTTTCATGATAACAACACTCAACAAACTAGGAATACAGGGAACTTTTCTCAACTCAAAAAAAAGCATCTACAAAAACTCTCAGCTAATAACATACTTAGTGGTGATAGACTGGATGTTTTCCTCCTAAGATCAGGAACTAGAGAAGAATGTCTAATCTCACCACCTCTATTCAACATTGTCCTGGAAGCTCCATCGATGGCAATTGGGCAAGACAATGAAATAAAATGTATTCAGATTGGAAAGGAAGAACTAAAACTTTATTGGCAGATGACATAGTCATGGATTTCGTGTACATAGAATATTATGGTCATGTACATAGAAAACCCTAAGGAATCCAGCCCTCCCTCCTCAGCCTTCCCCGCGAGCGGACGCGGCAGCGCCTCTGTCTCGCTTTTTCTTATTTTTCCCCCCTTTTCCCCTTTCTTCTTCTTCTTTTTTTTTTTTCTTTTCTTTTCCCCCCTCCTCCCCTTTCACCATTTCCTCTCGGAGGCGCTTTCCCCGGGCAGGGACAGAGCCGGTCTCACCCCCCCACGCCTCTCCCCGGCCCCTGCCGCCCTATGGCGAGAGGGAGCCCCCTCCCCACCCGGGCTCGAGCGGCGGCGGCCTCAGGCCGGGGTCATCATGGAACTAATTCGCTGACCGACCGCGCCCCTCGACCCGCTTCCCCCTCTTCTCCCTCCTCAATGGGCCCCGTAGTCCTGCGCGCACCGCCGCCGCGCGCGGATGAGAATGAGGTGGTAACGGGCTCCCGGATGACCTCGCGTCACCACTGTGAGGCCTACAGCTCAGCCGGGGAGGAGGAGGAGGAAGAGGAGGAGAAGTAGCTACATCAAGCTGGCTAGCAGGCAGATCCAAAGGATATCATGAAGTTTCCAGGGCCTTTGGAAAACCAGAGATTGTCTTTCCTGTTGGAAAAGGCAATCACTAGGGAAGCGCAGATGTGGAAAGTGAATGTGCGAAAAATGCCTTCAAATCAGAATATTTCTCCATCCCAGAGAGATGAAGTAATTCAATGGCTGGCCAAACTCAAGTACCAATTCAACCTTTACCCAGAAACATTTGCTCTGGCTGGCAGTCTTTTGGACAGGTTTTTAGCTACCGTAAAGGCTCATCCGATATACTTGAGTTGTATTGCAATCAGCTGTTTTTTCCTAGCTGCCAAGACTGTTGAGGAAGATGAGAGAATTCCAGTACTAAAGGTATTGGCAAGAGACAGTTTCTGTGGATGTTCCTCATCTGAAATTTTGATAATGGAGAGAATTATTCTGGATAAGTTGAATTGGGATCTTCACACAGCCACACCATTGGATTGTCTTCATATTTTCCATGCTATTGCGGTGTCAACTAGGCCTCAGTTACTTTTCAGTTTGCCCAAATTGAGCCCATCTCAACATTTGGCAGTCCTTACCAAGCAACTACTTCACTGTATGGCCTGCAACCAACTTCTGCAATTCAGAGGATCCATGCTTGCTCTGGCCATGGTTAGTCTGGAAATGGAGAAACTTATTCCTGATTGGCTTTCTCTTACAATTGAACTGCTTCAGAAAGCACAGGTAGGTGTCAGTCTAATTAAATAGTGTTCTTTTTAAGTTTTTCTATTATTGGAATACATAGAGTTACCAAACTGAAAGACATTTCTAATGTTGTAATGGCAAACCATTCTTCAGAGAAGAGTAAAGTATGTATTTTAAATTTACAGGCTAGATGTTCTCTTGTTTTCTTATAAAACTTATATAGTGGCTGGGCGGTGGCTCATGCCTATAATCCCGGCACTTTGGTAGGCCGAGATGGGCGGATCACAAGGTCAGGAGATCGAGACCATCCTGGCCAACACGGTGAAACCCCATCTCTACTAAAAATACAAAAAAATTCTCCAGGCATAGTGGTTGGTGCCTGTAGTCCCAGCTACTCGGGAGGCTGAGGCAGGAGAATGGCGTGAACCCAGGGGGCAGAGCCTGCAGTGAGTCGAGATGGCGCCACTGCACTCCAGCCTGGGCAACTGAGCGTGACTCTGTCTCAAAAAAAAAAAAAACAACTTATATAGTATTTTTAAGATTCCTTTGCACCATTTCTCTTAGATTACTTATCTTTAACAATTATAAAATGTTCATAAGATTGTCAGTACCATATTGTCTTTTATCCTAGCTACATCTGCAGGTTTTAATGTAGTACTTCTTTACTTCACTCATTTTATAATGGATGTCAGGAACAAAAATTAGAATAAGTTGCTTTTTAGACAAGCAGATACTTTATTGTTGGCTAGTAAGTGAAATATTTATACCAGACTGGCAGGTAGAAGCCACTTTTCTGAAAGAGGTTTTGCCCTGGCACTTCTGTTATTACCTTAGATTAGTTTGTAACAATCTACAGGTTGTTATAAAATGTATAGGTTGATAAATTATCCACCACCTAAGTAAAATGTAAAGGTTCAGTAGAGAAAATTCTCCTCCAAATGGAAAGTTGGTGAGAGTGCTGTATGTTAGCAACTACTTTGAGAGAAGCCTTACTGGTTCTATTCATGTCACCAAATAGAACTTAACCAAGTTTAGATCTGCTGCAAACCATTTTCCTGCCAGCTGAATCCATAAAAGACTCATGAACCTACTTTCCCTTTATATGGCTATTTATTCTTATTTAACAGTAGTTATTCTGATTTGTTTTATTGGATTTTACTTAGAAGATTGTGAAATTCTAAGCTTAACATTTTGCAATAAACTAATTGTAGCAAAGAACTGCAGTTATTGAGCTAAAAATTTAGAATATTATAAAAGAAAAACATAATAGTTGAATTTGGTGTTTTTCTAAGAAAGTTGTAATTGATCTTATAGCAAACATTTTAAGAAGTATGAAGAAAATGAAGCAGACAAAAAAGAATTTTTTTTTAAACAAGTATGTCAGTGCTTTCAAGAATTTTAGGCTCTAGTTTGTGAGCAGAGGGGGACTCAGTCTTTTCATAAAAAAGGTTGATGATCAGAGCAGTATGTTAGCTAGACATCTACCTGTGTAGTGTAACACGGGCTGTTTTTTGTTTTCAAGGGATATCTTAATCGTCTTAGATTGAAATAATTAAATGCTATAATGAAAATTCTACGAAGTAATTGCTCATGAGAATTTTTAGAAATTATGAGAAACCATCATTTAAATGAATAATATGACACAGAAAATTTACTTTGCTCACCCCGGACTGTTGGAAAGAAAAGTTGAATATTAATCACTCACATTAGACTGTGAAGTAGAGGAATAGGCTTAATAGAAAACCTCCTACATTATATTATTTTTAAATGCCTTCTGACTTGGTCTCTCTGCTTATTCTCAAGATAGTACAGAAAAAGATTGCTCTAAAGTGTTAGTGTCAGAGGACAGATTTTGAAGCATAAATAACAATGTAAATAGCATGTGTATTCTGTAGCTTTGAGATCATGTTTTCCTAGTGAAAAACACTGGAAAATCTCCTGATTCTCTTTTGTAAGTTTTCTGGTGCTAGAGGAAGAAAGTATTCACTGAAACTTTTTTTTTTTCTCCTTAGCTGAAGGAGTATTACAAATGTGGGATTTGACAGAATCTTTGGAGAAATTGTTTCATTCAACTCCTTTATTTTATAGCTCCAGTGTAGGGAACTGGAGACTTTCTTAGAGCTGCGTAGAGCTACTTAGTAGTGATTTAAAAGAACCAGTGCTTTTTTTCATACCACACAAACCTTAAAAAATTCTAGTTCAGTGGTTTTCACAATTTGTTTGAGAAGTGGAACCCTTTCCCAGTCCCCCTTCCGCCAAGAAAATCTTGTACACACACAATCCCAGAATATAGAATAGAAAAGTGGAGCTATACTTGTTGTGTTTAAGGGCAGAGCCCCACTCAACATAGCCTTTTCCCTTCCATAGCTAGAGATCTACCTATGTAGTGTAGGTTTAGATTATATTATGTAGGTAGTGTTTGGACATAGTTTGAAAACTGGAAATACAGTGATTTTTTTTTTAAAAGAGATTTGCCCCATGTAGTATTCAAGTTGCAATGGGGAAGTTAGTGAAGAAAAGGAAGGTCATAAATCTTGGTAGAGACTTTTGGGACTTGTTCTAGCAGTTCTGCTCTAACACCAACCCATGTGGTCCAAACATGGATGGCTCCTAGTTCTTTAGGACTCATTTCTGTTTTTTTGCTAGGTTTCCTGTGTTCAGGTAGGAACACCAGATATAATATCTTTGTGTTTAGACCTGTGACAAGGCCACAATATCAGATACTCTTCCTAGTTTTCTGGTTTTAGTATAGGAAATTCTTGAATCAGATTGCTAAGATCATGCCAAAATCATTTGTGACATGTTTCCCAGTGTCTTGGTTTGAGAAGAGTCCATCACAGACATATCGTACTGTGAGGAGGCCACTCCCACTAGTTCTGCCTGAGCCCCCACTTTGAGAGAAAAGTATGGTGAGTGTTCCCAGGTTTGAAAGGCAAACTTCCTTTTGTTCCTCTTAACCTCCCACAACTACACCCCTTAAGCTCTTGTGCCCACCTGTTGGTCACCATTGTGGGATGGCTAAACCTCTCTCTCCTTACTCTTCTTCTACCCTTGCTCTGTTGTGTGGTTGTGCTCACGTCTTCCTCTTTCTGATGTGGCCCACTCGGATAAACTCAGACCGTTAACTCTACCTAGATTAGTGTGCTGGTCTTTGTAGTTCCTAGCTGGGCAGTAGTCAAAGTCCATGTTCTAGTTGTAGAGTAGGTGCAGCCATAAAACAGAACAAAATCATGTCCTTTGCAGCAACATGGATGCAGCTGGAGGCCATTATCCTAAGTGAATTAACACAGGAACAGAAAACCAAATACCACACGTTCTCACTTACAAGTGGGAGGTAAACATTGGGTACACGTGGACATAAACATGGCAACAGTAGAAACTGGGGACTACTAGAGCGGGGAGGGAGGGAGGGAAGTAAGGGTTGAAAAACTGTTGGGTACTGTGCTCACTACCTGGTTGACAGGATCACTTATACTCCAAACCTCAGCATCATGCAATATATACCTAGGTATATACTGCACATGGGTACCCCCTGAATCTAAAAGTAAAAAGAAGCAAATTAAAAAAAAAAAAAAAGTTGCGCTCAGCCTTCCTAAGACGTGGGATTACAAGCACCCTGCCACCACGCCTGGCTAGTTTTTTGTATTTTTAGTAGAGGATGGGGTTTCATCTTGTTGGCCAGCTCTGGTCTCGATCTGTGCCTCAAGTTGATCCGCCCCAGCCTCCAGACCTCCAAGAGGGTGCTGGGATTACAGGCATGAGCCATCGTGTGCCCCCCCCGCAAAAAGCTAACTCTTTTAGCTTCTTTGACAAAGTGTTTCTAGGAGTATGTTACAGAATAATATTACGCTTCCTTTGTTTAAATGTATTCCTAATATTTGTTCTTGATGCTATGCAAATAGAATAATTTTCTTAATTCCATTTGAGATGGTTTCATCGAACCAGTATGTATAGGAAAAAAACTGATTTGTTTTCCAATATTGATCTTATATACTTGGAACCATGCTGACACTCATTTATTGGTCGCTAGCAGGTTGTTTTTTACGGATGGCCTTAGGGTTTTCTTTCGTTTTTTTTTTTTTAGGACAACTTGTTTTATGCTACCAGAGCTTTTCATCGTACACGGTTCTGACTGCAAACCTTTCAGACTGCAAAGGAGAGCTCTAGGATCCAGAAGTCATTAAGAGGAATTACTATGTAGGCTGGGGAGGCAGCAGGGGAGTAAGTTCTATTAGAAATCCTAATAGTTAAACAAATAGGGTACTAGAATTCAGTTTGTATAACATGTTACAGACCTCCAAAGCACAGAGCTGCCCCAACATTCCTAGACAGTCTCTCCTAACTGATTATAAAGTGAGTGAAATTATCAGTGAATTT